GCTTCTCTACAATGGTCCAAAGCCGAATGCTGGACTGTGATGTCGACAGATGGCGTTCGATTTACGTCCAACGTCAGATTTTCAGAACGCGCGAATAATAACATCTTCAGAAGCAGCTCTTATCCCCTCCGCGTTTACCTCGCATGATATTCATCGCCCTGCCTGATACCAAGTTTCAGCATTTCACAGTGCATACCCTAAGTAGCTTTACTGAAATCGGTCATTTCATCATCTAAGAGCGTGAGAGCTGTAGACAACTATACCTTAATATGTTTCAATTGTAATAACTGAGCACGTTTTGCAAATGCTCCCAAAAAGGAAGGCGAAAAAGTCACTACTTGCTCCTCCGCAGTGCCTCGGGGGGGGAGGGGGAACTAAGAACAGCCTGGAGCAAGTGCCTCGACGGACTTTGCTCCATTCTCTATATTTTGCCGAAGTGCAGAGGTTGGTGGAGGATTGCAAACGCAGACTAGCTGATTCTGCAGTATCTGCTACCTGAAATGATAGGCGGCCATTGAGACTGGCTGACTAATAAAATGACTTAAATAACTGCTTCTAAATTCCTTCTTTTGTTTCTTGTAGTATCTCTGTTCTGTTTGCTGTTTGTCTGTTTTGTTTGTCGTCTTGACATAGCTAACTTTCGCCTCGTTTTAACTTTAAGCATAAATGATAGAGATATCAGTTAGGTTCCAATTTACGCAGCAGCTGTGAATACGATAATTTTGCTAGATGCTGATTTTTACATTTATTTTTTACATTTCATCTTACGTTCTTCATAGATCTGTTGAAAAATTGTTTTCCTTCTTGATTTGTTTTTTATGGCAGAGTGCCTAAGCCTCGTATGCACCAACGGCGAGTTGGCGTGAACTCCTTAAATATAGGACTAACAGTTCCCATCAGACAACGATCTTATGATGGTAGAATAATCTGCTTTCCGAGCTGTGCAACAGAATCCCGAAAAAGCTTGAATGCCTGTCGTTTCCCTTACAGCAAAGAAAAAGTTGCATAACTCGCAAAAGTTCGAAAATATTTTCTAGCCGTTGTTTAAACAGATATTGATGCCATTGCATACCTGCTGTCTTGGAAGCGTCCCCGAATGCCGAAGAGCTGTACGTCAGCCGAGCTGAGCAAGCCGGAACAGTGCCCGATTTAATTCAACCCAATCCCGTCGTCATGACGTCACTGTTTCATGAAAGAATCAAACTGCATGACGAAGGATAAATGACAAATTGTATTTGCGGACGTCTGGAGCAACAAAAGTAGTGTAGACGCATGGAAACCGGCCGTCCACGCCGCACGTTTAAATTGAGCTCGTTTTGTCATATGACCTGTTTAAAAGACGGGGGACGTCATCATGTTTGATCGTTTGTCAAAGCAGCTCGCTGTATAGAGCAAGAAGACATTCGCAGGTAGAAAGTTTAATAGTTCTGTGTTTATTCATTTTCCGGTATCCGGTTTTTCCTCGTTGTGGCTGCACGAGGGATGCAGGTGGACCATCCTGCAGGATTTTTATTTCCCTCGTTTTGCGCCCATCGCAGACCAAGTGATTTCACTATCTGAGCCTCCCAACGTGTTCTTGGACGACTAAATCGTGCAGAGGAACTCGGTTCGGTAATTTTGCGCCCTTCAATTTGTGAAAAGTTTTTAATGAGGGTATTTGGCGTAGAAACCGAAATATAAATGCCATTAGACACCAGAAATTTATTCATATTTTTCGCAGACGTCTCTTGAATGACCATATTTTTAAGCCAACCTTGCTTTCTGCCTTGTTCTCTGTTGTTCGATAGCGGTTAGTAAGCTGAAAAGCTGCAGAGGATTCGTACACATGAGGGTAAATTCAAATAGATTTCTTTATTTTTTTTCTATCAGCGGCAGTTCACAGGCAGAAAAGTTCACCGTTGTCCGGCTTAACCAACGATGTTCGAATAGCTCAGTGACGAGTTCGATTCCCGATCGAGTCATTCAGCTTTCAACCCTCTGAACTTTAGAGTTGCCGGGATGGAGAGTGAATTGTACAAAATAATTCTCGTAACTGCTGATTTCCTGGAGCAGAGATTTTATCCGACTCTTCTTGGGTGTTTCCTACTGAAAAATGGCAGAAATTGTTTGTTGAATTACGGACTATATGGACAGCTCGAACCTATGCCAATCGTTGCTGCAACGGTAACGAATGGAATCGAACGGGGACAGCATATATTGCGGCGTGGTCACTTCAGAATTGGCTAGTCATATCACCATACTGCCCGCTTTTAGCGTTTATGACTGCAGTTCGTATCGACGATTCTTAAGATTGCTGATTATCCGGTATCAGAATCTGCACAGGGTGTAAGCCCAGCAAATAAAATACGATTTTAATAGTTGATAAAAACTGAGCAAAGACCTGCGCTGCATGATAAGACTCACGAAATGTCGGCTATAATTGCTGCTCGTCAACTGAAAAGATTTTATCAGTAGAGTCGAGTTGATTAGGCGAAATGGAATGTCTCGTTGGAAACGTGCATCATTCAATAAACAACTTTCTTTCAGGGGACCGAATGGAATTTTGCTAAATTTGTTTGCAGACGCGTAGAGCAGATTTGAACCAACGCTGAATTGAAACCGTCAAGTCGTTTCAGGCGACAACCCATGATTACAAGAGTGCAGACATTTAGCACTCACAGACATTCTATTACTTGCGTCCCTTTTGACCTGGCATATGTGCATCTCTGACGGATCATGCTTTAAAGTACTACTAAGGTGAGAGATCGTAATGAAGGTACTGCACGTGCGTGTGATCGCCTCTTTGCAGACTATTGTTTACTTTTCGACTACTTGTGTGGTCGACGAAAATACACCTTATCGTACCCACGATGTGAATTTGACGTAAGATTGGACTTTGAGAGGAATTCGACCAACTATCTTTCGCAAAATCTGTAGGGTTATGAGACTTCTGGCGAAAGTTGTGTGCTGTGTGTTCTGTCATTCAAATCTGGCCACCAGTCTTCGAGCCACTGTAGGAACGGATCTTGAGAAGAGATGACATTTCGAGGAAGGGTTGCTACGCGTAATATGATTGATTTACGAATGATCAGATCAAAAATTTGACCAGTCTCAGTTTAGTAAGGCTTGCGATGCAAGTGCTGTTCTGACAGCCATTGTTTTTTTCTAGAATGGAGTCGGTCCATTGGAGATTGATTCCTTATACAATCGAGCCACCAATCACTGTGATTCATGTTGATTTATGTTTATCCGTCAAAGTCACGAGTTCAGCGTATACCAGTTTGAATTAAGACTAACTTGTTTACTCCATGTGTTGACTGTTTCCATCGATGCTCGTAATTCTCCCAGAAATTTCGCCATCAGCACTTTGTCCTGCGCATATTGCTATTCCATAATAGACTATTATCTTCTCAAACCTCCTGCATAGTTTGTCAATGCTAATTTCATCAGGAGTACTCAGTATTGCATGTGAAAATAGCAGTGCTGTTGTTCTGGATAGATGCTGCTCAATCGACCTTTTTTTCTCTTCACTTTTCAGAGAAAGCAGGTGAAATAAATAAATAAATATAAATATACAGTAAAATAAATAAAGGTAAAAATTTTATTTGCCTTACCTAATGAAGCTTTATGCCTTATATCTCGTACCTGCGTAGTTAAGATTATATCTCATGATGTTATTTTGCAGCAGATCCTGCTTGAGATTCGACATCCGTTTGATGCTTTGTAATAAAAGATTCCAGCTACGAGACGGTTGAATCATTTGCGTAAGGGAAATGTATGTGCGTCTAAAGCATTAAAGGAAAAGGTCAGAGA